CTTCCAAAAAGCTTGTGTTACAAGGTTGAGACACTTATACAGTTAATATCCATATGGTGGTGATGGAGTTTGTGTGTCTTTCAATGTATGTGTGTGCGTGGTGTTGGGAACTGCATAAGCTTAACCTTCAAACAGCCCTTTGAAGTTGAAAGAACCACACACTAACACACACACACACAAGTACACAGTGTTGATTTACCTTAGAGTTGCTCTCATACCTAAGTCAAAAGGCTAAGAATTAATGAGTCTAATTAGCCAATCTGAATCAGCTTTGCCCATTTCTGCCCAGTAACACCTGCTGAGTAGCACCTACTGAGACACTGGTTGCCAGTACCGACTGTGGCCACCAGGGGGAGGAGGGAAACACACACACGCAATCCCCTCTGTCTCCCTAGGCAGACAGCAGCTTTTAGGATGAAACTTGTGTTCGAAAATGGGGATCGGAGGGTAAGCTACAAGTCCTATTGAAAAGATCACCTCACCACAATGCTAAAATAGTTGAAAATTCAGTTCATATTAATTGAAGTATACTGCTTTGAAAAATTTGATTCCAAAATTATGATTTTCTATAAGGTGAATATCCAAAGGTGGAGATGGTTTGTGTCTGTCAATATATGTATGTACATATATGTGTACAAAAATGTGTTCTTAACAAAATTGTCCTCACAATCATAGAAAGACATGAAGACACACATACTCTCTATGAGCACTAACAGCTTTCTGCATGTGTGTTTTTGTGTGTGGTGTGTTTGTAAACATCACAGAGATCAAAGAGTCTCTTAACAAGCAAGTTCAAACAACTGTGTCTAGCTGAAAGACACAGAGCTGACTCAGATCTGGTTGTGATTTTGGCTCGGCGAGCCTCTCAAACGACTGCTATTTGTCACTCCTATCATAACCATGAGCAGACCATGGCTGGCAGAAGATCTTTGTGCACTGCATGTCTGGCTTTGGTGTTTCTAGAGCCAGAAATGTGGACACAGGAGTGTGTTACAGAAAAATGTCCCTTATGCATTTCTTGGGAAATCAGCTCCTGAATTTGTATTACAGTCAATGGGAGAGGTGGCGGGTACTCCCCTCATTTTGAGGCTCATGTTCAAATTTTGTAAGTCTCTGGTTTAAGGTAGACACATTGTATGAAACAGGACAAATTTTTCTACTATCGAGGATGCCATGATGTGTGTAGATTGAAATATGTGGTTGTGAGGACAAGTTAAACTGAATTTTTTCAGAGGAGTTCTAGAGCTTCTCCCACTCTAGCGATGATCACAAAACGTAAACTGCGATTTTGTGTAAACCGTAACAGTTATCAAAATACCAATTTAACCCAAAGGAGTCTCAAGTCTTGTGACCCATTTAACATTTCAACCATTTTTCTATGTTGAAGTTTGACGCAGCAGTAGAGCTCCAAATTTGGTTGTTTTGAAGATGTCTCCCCATTCATTCTCTATAGGAATTTTCTGCCTTTCATCGCCATTTATATACTTGAATCGCTTAGAAAAGCCATAGCACACCATTCCCAATTGAGCTGCACGCATTGATACATGTATTGTCTGGGTTTTCTCAAAGCTGTGGAAGTAGTTAATTTCTATACGGAAGAGGAATAAGACGAACTAGAAAATGCATTTCCTGCTGAAAATGCATGTGAATGCTGAGAGTTGAACGAGATCACTGAAGCAATGCTGTAAAAACTGAAGCAACTGCTCAAGCAATGCTAAAGTAGCTCAGGCAATTGTTGAAGCAATGCTAAAGTAGCTCAAGCAATGGCTCAAGATTAAAATAGACAGAAATAGTAAGCTGGAGGTTGAATGGTATGAAATATTGAAAAAGGCCTACGTTTGTGTAACAAACAGCACAAAACTCTAGAAAATATACAAAATGTGAAAAACAGAAAAACATGTTAGCTGAAATCTAAATGGCCTAAATTGGCTGAAAAAAAACCTAAGAAAGAAAAAATGTACAAAAAAAAGTTTTAATGTCACACTGAAAGAGATTTCTGACAGTGCTTTGAAAAATTAGATGCCAAAATGTTAAACTGGAGGAGCTGAAGTCCATTAGCTGCAAAATCTGAGAACTGAAACATGTTGTTGAAAAACTTGAAAGCCAAATTATTTATTGCCAAAGGTGAATGTAGGAAATTAAATACCTCAAAAATATGAAGAAGTAATCAATTGTATTAGTAACAAAAAGATGAACTACATCCTAAATAGTAGAAACTTTAATTTAAGCTATGAATAAGCTGAAAAATCGCTTAAAAGTTGGCAGTGTTCTGAACAGTTTAAAGTTTGAATAAAATCTGTTGCTGAGAGTATTCTCAAGTAGTTGAATTTCAAAGATGTTGAAGTTTTGAAGGAGTTAAACAGCGTCTCCATTCACTTAATTTGTATAAACTGTAGAAAAAGCTTATTATTTCTAAAATTATGAATAGTATCAAAAACTTGATGGAAAGGATACATCTCCTGAAGAAGTTGAAAGTTTTGATAGCTGGACAGTTTATGTAGCACAAAGTATGCAGGAAGTTAACCGAAGGAAAGTAAACGGAGAATGTGTGTTACTTTCATCTCCCTCTATGAGTACTAACTTGTCTATGCACACTCACCGCACAAGACGTTGAAGAAAAAGCATGTTGAAGCTCATTTAAAGTTTGCTGCACAACATTTGGACAAGCCTATGAAATACTGGGAGAATATAGTCTGGTCAGTTGAGACCAAAATTGAACTTTTTGGATGTCACAGCACACACCATGTTTGGAGGAGAAATGGCACTGCACATCACCCCAAAAACACTATACCAACAGTGAAATTTGGATGTGGGAACATCATGGTGTGGGGCTGTTTTTCAGCATAGGGTACTGGCAGACTTCATACAATTGAAGGAAGGATAAATGGAGAAATGTACCGAGACATTCTCGATAAGAATCTGCTGCCATCTACCAGGATGCTGAAGATGAAATGAGGGTGGACATTTCAGCAAGACAGTGATCCCAAACACACAGCCGAGGAAACTCTCAATTGGTTTCAGAGAAAGAAAATAAAGCTGCTGGAATGGCCCAGTCAATCACCCAACTTGAATCCAATTGAAAATCTATGGAAAGAACTGAAGATCAGAGTTCATGTGTGTGGAAGAATGGGCCAAAATCACACCTGAGCAATGCATGCGACTACTTTCTCCATACAGGAGGCGATTTGAAGCTGTCATTACCAACAAAGGCTTTTCTACTAAGTATTAAATAAATTGTGTGCTCAATATTTTTTCCCTGTGTCATTCCACTTTATTACACATAACTTAATTTATGGACATGTTTTGATTTCTTTGTATTTGTAGATTACTTGGGTTGTTACCGACATCTGGTGACAATTTCATGTCAATAGCCCCATCAGAAATATATTTACTGAGGAAAATGTTGATGTTCAATACTTATTTTCCCCGCTGTAGTTCAGATGACAATAGGGCTTTGGTAAATCATGGCCTGACACTGAGGGACACTGAGCAGAGAGTCCAGACCAACCATAGCTGCTACACAGTAGCAGCCATAATATTGACATTGAAAATGGAGAACAGGTCTTCAGCTTTCTACTAGACTGAACCTTTCAGTAAATCGACACTCTGCCACATCTTGAGTCAACATCACCTTACGATGAAGCTCCTGTACAGGCTTCCATATAAGAGGAGAGTGTTAGAATCAAAGACCTTCGCTATGAGTATGTGCAAGTATCATTGTACTGTAGAATAATACAGTAATGGCAGTAGATTGTGTGGTGTTGCCAGTGCATACATTCAGGAAAAGCAGTATGTGACCGAGGCACTAACATTCTGGGGGTGTTGTCTGTGGGGATATCTCTCATCCTTCTGTGAAAATGTAGACATTTTAATCCTGTGTACATCAGAGTTTACTGTTCTTATACCATATTCACAATTCAGTGAATACATTTTCTGTTACTGCCTGTAAATTCTGCTGTTCAGTAAAAACCAAAATTAAACCAAAGTTGTAAAGACAGCAGTGTTTTGTGTTAGGTTCATCACTGTGTTGTTGCTGATTTGAAAGAGTAATTCAGATGGTGCATTTGTGTATGGTTTTGTTAAAGAAATGCCCTTTTGAAAGAGGATTGTCATGTTTTGATAGCAGTGTTTCATTTTGACATTGAAGTGAGATGTTTAGCTCCAAGTGTTCTGTCTTCTTTGGCTTGTGTGTGGAGTTTTGACACAATGAGCCAAATGCTGTAATGAGTGTGTAATCAATCGCAAAAAACTGTAATATGTGAAGATCAGGTAAAGAAGTGCAGCGAAAATGAAGAGAAAGTGCATAGTAAGTGTGCACACAGTACACACACACTCTGTTCCCAGGTCTTTAAATAGACCTGCTGGGTGTGTGAGTTGCAGCTGCCTGTGTGTGTCTGCTGTGGTTTGACCTGTGTGAGCCTTTAAAGGCTCATGCCAAAACTGATATTTTTAGATTGAAGCTGCTGATGGATGACATTTTATGCTGATGTTTGCATGTATGATGAGTTTTAATACAGTACCTTTAAGTCTCCTCTAGCCTGTGAAACCACTCCTTTGTTTATTTTCACCTGAAACTAAAACTCACCATTGTAAGTTATTAGATACCTATGTGGTTGGTTCATTGCCCCTCAGAGCTTTGTAGTTTTAGTTTTATTATATCTGGGTAAAGTTTTCCATCCCCACATTAGAATAATTTCCCTGACAAGACATATCATAGATAATGAACTGTAATTAATATCATCCTAGTTTGTGTACAGACCTATAAAGTATCTGGTCTAGTGTCTCTCTCTATCTCTCTCTCTCCCTCTGCTCAGCTCCTTGCACTACTTTCTTACTCTCTGCTCCCCTGTCCTCTCTACCATTCCACTCCTCCCCCCTCACTTGCTCTGCCTGACTTTCTGCTTGTCTTCTGTTGAGTCATTTTTTGTTTCAGGTCTTCTGTCCTTATCTCTACTCTTTATCTACGTCTTGTCTTTTTTATAATCATTTCTACAGTCACTTTCACCATGGCTGACAAAAGTCATCTGCTAATGAGAAGAAAAGAGAGAAAAGACAAAGAAGCAGCTGAAGTGACCAAAGCTGTAAAGGAAGTAAAGAAGGAAGGAGAGGAGACAGAAAACAATGGAGAGGTCCCGTCAACCGAGGCGGGGGCCACTGGTGGGGCAGTAGCTAATGGTCAAAATGGAGATTTTCTGGTGGAGCTGATGGAACTACCTCCATTTGAGATCATCACAGGGTAGGTCACCAAGCATGGTTCATGAGCAGTTGTAGGCTGAGTTACGTCATTATCATTCTACATTAGCTTTAGTGACACAATCTGTCTGGTGATGCCTTAACCGTCTGAATGAGGTTCTCTGATCACAGCAGTAGAGAGGATCGTCTGGTCCAACACTGAGAACTGACCTGCCTGACATTTAGTGCTGATGTGAGTCTCAACCATTTCATAATCAAGGTAGAAAGAACTGCAGCATCTGAGATTGTGAACATGAGGCAAAGTAACCTGCAGAAACTCATAATGTGATAAACTCATGTAATATGTCTGATAATAACCTGTTACCAGACCTATAATCCAAAATCTGATCAAAACCTAACTCACCTAAAGGAAACTACTTCTGTTGATTATCACTCAGCACTAGTCAAAGGTACTTTTGAAAAAGCTGCTTCATGCCTGGCTGCTGAACTCCTGCTGCAGTATTGCTGAACTTGAATGAACAAGCATCATTTAAATTATTTCACCAAATTCAACCAATATGCAAACTGCCACAGCATCATCTAGTGATGATGCATTTAGTGCAGGCTTTAGCTACTTAATATTGAAATAATGAGATGTTGATTAGCACAAGCAGTGCTGATAGTCTAGGCAGAATTTCTGAAAATGTGCTTATTTAAAGTGGTGGAGGCATTTTGTGAATATTTATAATATACAACATTTCTAGGGGTATTAAGGGGTGCTGAATCCAAATCTGCTGTAATGAAGCTCAAAAATGCCCCCAAATGCCTCAAAATTTGAGAAATCCAACATGGCCGCCACCGCCAGGCTGAAATCTATTTTTCAGTGTATCTTTTTGACTAGACAAGGTAAAAACATGAATTAAATGTGCTTTTGTAGGTTTTCCCACATGAGCAATCCAATGGCATATTCAGATTTGAGATGTAATGTGAAGAAACTTCTTAGATATTGCAAAAATAGTTGTTTCGTGAATAATTACTCAGCTATTATTTTTATTATAAATATGTTTTTATTATCAGGCTTCTTTTACTTTGTATTTTGTTTTGAGGTAAAATGTGCTGTAATGGAACCTTGGTCAATAATCAGCTTGAAAGTCATACAATAGGGAAAAGGTGGTCATTAGTGATAAATAAGTTGTCAATCAAATAAGAACAAAACACAGGATGATCCATAAGTCATGGTTTTATCCATTACAGTGACTTTATTCTTAATGCCAACTCAAGTTTGCTTTTAATCTTTTGTTTTGATGTGCTGTACATTATATGTCGGACCCGAGGAAGAATAGCTGCAGTTTTGATGCAGCTAATGGGTATCTAAATAAAACAATAAACAGCTTATTCACAGTCTTCCGTGTTCTGGCAAGTGTTGTCATGTTTCCTGCAGTTGCATGCTTCCATACATTCCATGTGACTCTTTCTGAATAGAATAAAATAGAATAGAAAGATTACAAACAGTACAGGTACATTGGAATACATTCTAGTTATCCTTACTCTTATTTTGTTTCTGTGTTACTTTTCTCCTCAGAGGTTCACAATTATCAGGTTATCGGTTCAACAATCTGTTAATAAGTAGTAGTGTGCAGTCTAGCAGGCTGATATTCTCTACCAGTCTATCGTATTTGTACAATCTTGTACACATTGCTCAACATCAGATAATCCCCTATACACATTTTCTCTGGGTTGACTGTGCTTGCCTTTTGATTGTACAATGTCCAGGAAGGCATTGGTTTTTGAGATGTCCTGGACATGAAAAAGGCCGTGTCTGTAGCTTGTGCTTTCTGTCCTGCAGGACATTATTCATACGACTGTGTGAAACAATCTGGTGCTACTACACTGAATGGACGCTCTGTGATTCCTCTCTTTGGTGCAGGTATGATGTCAGTCATTGCCTTGGGGATGTTGAGGGTTTCTGACTTGGAGTAAAGATCAATTCCATCAAGGAGATCACTTTCAGGTGGATAACGTTGCCAGGCAGCCACTTGTGTGGCATGGAATGTCCCTTTTCCATCCAGAGTGTATTCGTTGATGTCGACATTGTCTGCTGAGAAATGAACAAAGCGACCCTTTACCAGATTTTGTGGAACAACGGCACTGTCATCTCCCATGGTCTCCAAGGTCTTCTTAGCCAGTGCAGTGTCAAGTTTGATTACCTCACGGTAACTCATAACATGACCTGCCTGGTGAAACATGTTCACCAACTCCTTGGAACGTGTAGCTTGATGAAGGGAACTGGCCAGTCCTATGTGCTTTGGAGTGAGGAACTTGTCTCCACTGGCTGTGTACATAAGATCCTGTGCCATGCTGAGGACTCTAAGCTGGCGTTTGGCTGTGTTCTTATCATCATGTTCAACATCATCTTCCAGCAGGTGTTGACCACATAGTAACAAGTTGAGGAACATGTACAGGCTGTTGGGTATGCTGTTTATTGCTCTGTTTTCACTGATGTCTATCCCCTCTTGTTTTGGATGGGAGAGGGGGAGGGTGATATTGGGGATGACCAAGGTTCCATTACAGCACATTTGACCTCAAATTAAAATACAAAGTAAAAGAAGCCTGATAATAAAAAATATTTATAATAAAAATAATAGCTGAGTAGTTATTCACTAATCAACTATTTTTTGCAATATCTAAGCAGTTTCTTCACATTACATCTCAAATCTGAATATGCCATCAGATTGCTCATGTATGAAAACCTACAAAAGCACATTTAATTCATGTTTTTACCTTGTCTAGTCAAAAAGATACACTGAAAAATAGATTTCAGCCTGGCGGCGGCGGCCATGTTTGATTTCTCAATTTTGAGGCATTTGGGGGCATTTTTTAGCTTCATTACAGCAGATTTGGATTCAGCACCCCTTAATACCCCTAGAAATGTTGTATATTATAAATATTCACAAAATGCCTTCGGGGTTCTGATTTTGTGAAAACTGACCCTGTCTATGATGTCATTTGCCCAGTGACAAACATGTTGGCTGTGACAGACCACCACTGTAAATTACAGGTACCTAATCCAGTCGACTTGTCTAAACCAATCATTTAGTTTTCATCAGCTGAACCTAATTTAGTGTTTAAGTGAATAAGTGGATGGACTGCAACAGTGAAGCCTGGATGACTGAATGAATGACTGATTATGGTTCCACCACTGGTCAGCCGAATTACTGAGTTTCGTAGTTGGCCGTTGACCTTTCAAAATGAAATGGTGCAAACAGCACTTCACAGTCTGCAGTGTTGACAAATTAGAGCATTTGTCATTAGATTTAGGGACTTTTTTTTTTTCAAAAAAGCACCTTGTGATGAATCTACTTTTGTGCATCCCTTGTGTACCTAGTAGAAAGTCTCCAGTTCTGCTCTCTCTCTCTCTCTCTCTCACTCATAGAAGAGGAGCAGCAGTTTTTTACCCAGACGGAGGCCGTGCTCTGTGTGAGAGACAAAAAAAGAAAGATATTGTGTCTCTTCTAAATTTCTCTGTGAGAGATCATGTTATAGTAACTGCAGCTGAAATCACAGCTCAGTCTTTGTCTTTAAATGTTTATGGTGATGTCGGACGACGACATCATTTTAAAATCTGGATTTTAGCAGCAGCAGAGCAGCAGCTTAGAAGTGACTGATTAACACGTAGTGTTAATGGGTCACGTTTCAGTCATTGTTTCAAACTTGTTCCATTGTCTGAATGTGTGAACTGAATCTGTGTTTTGAACTGTTCATCGGACAAAACAAGACATTTGAAGATGTCACCTTGGAAGAAATTATAATGGGCATTTTTCAACATTTTCTGAAATTCTATAGACAAATAAATTAATCGATTAATCTCAGAATTAATCAGCAGATGAAATGATAATGGAAATAAGTGGCAACCATAATCAAAATATAGTAAATGCACTTCAATGACTAGTTTATCTCTGTAGTTCAAAGCATTCTCTATAGAAATTGTTCTGAGGCTCTCTGCTTACACCTGATCAGTGAACTCAGGTGTGTTTAGACAGTCAGATGGAGAATATACCAGTTAGTCAGTTAGTTAATCTGAGATGGGTAGAGCTGGGAGAGGTAGAGGATATCCAGTGCCTGAGCTCCGAAGGGGCTGGCATAAAAATCACTCAGAGGGTGCTGGTGGAAATGAGGTCTCCAGTTGTTACCTTAAAACACCAGGGAATCATGGGAGGCAGATAAGAATGATACAACATTAACCAAATTTATTGTCACAGCAACCAAACCCTGCATGGAGTTCAGAAAGTCTTTCCACATAACTCACTCTGCTCTCTGGTGCTTTATGGTGGAGTCACAACAAATACATTCCCCATTCACTTAGTGGAATAAAGTTCAATCTGATCAGAGTTTGACCTGTGTCATTGCGATTGAGTGCTCTCTGGTGTCCAGCTAATCAGAGAGAGGACTGACCTGTCTCTCAGGAAATTGTGTTTCTTGTTGTCGTGTCATACAACTTTAGGTGAAATAATACAAGCAGCAGAGAAGATGCTATTTGGTTGTGGAGTGTGTGGAAACAGTGTCAGAGTTTATGATAAAAAAGCTTTAAAATTTACTCCTTTGTTGTTAGCGTGGTAGCAGTGCTACTTCCTGCTCCTGTCGCCTCCTGTTTTTGACCAGACCGATACATTTCTGTCTGATTGCACCATAACTCTGTGAATGTTTTCTGGCTTTCTCCAATCACAGTCCCGCTTCAGCCACACACAACATTCACAACCTAAAAGAAATGTTGGACTCCTGAGTACAAAAGAGGCCTCACATACACAATATCTACTTCCTGTCTGTGCATCTTGAAGAGGGTTCCCTGCTCTCTTGCTGCGCCTGAACTTTCTTCCATTTTTTTTTTTACTTTTCATGTTGTTGAAAATACAACTAACAAAGAACTTCATATTCTTGTCTAGTCAGGAAGTTAGGGTTAAACAAACCTGTTGTTGTGGTATGTATAGACCTCCATTCCCTGTCTGTGAATCTGCAAATCCACAGCTGTCTGCATTCTGGTTCATGCTGGAGCATGATCAGGGCTGT